CTGAGATATTTGCAAAATTCCGGACCGCTGGTGTCTGCGGTGAGGACCGAACACGCTATTACCCTTTCCGGAGGCTAGCGCGTTCACTATCATTCCATGCGAGTCCTGCAAATTGTAAGGGGAAGAATAAATTACCTATCTCGTTTCTTCTTTTCTAGTTTTTTATCCTTTTCGAAGTTGGAAATAGGGTTACTGTAACATTTAGTGCCAGTAAACGAACGAAACTACTCTCCCCCCCCCCCGGTGAAAAAAAAAGAAAAAAAACTACGACTATACAGACCTGTAACCTAGTGTCTCGTCTATCGCTCATTCAACTTTCTGGCTTTTTTGCTAGCAACTCTTCAACATCTGATAAATCGCATTCTGTATTATATTTCTTTAAAAAGCACTACAGTCTGTGAAGAAAGGTGTTCGATTCCACGTGTTGTTGGGCAACGATTTTTTGATGGATCCTAGAAGTTTTTGGATGGCAATCTACGCCTTCTCCAGCCGACCCACGCACCTGCTGGCCATCACCTTCGCCATTATCCTCCTGAACCGACAACGGATTACGACGGTTAGGGGCTCCTGTTCTATATGGCCATATATGCAAATGAGGCCCACCCGATCCTTCCCTGAACACATTTCCCTTGTATCCGCCCTTCTCGATCTCCTCATTATTAACTTCACACCACCCATTTGCGAACGCCTCTCAACAAATGCTGTAGTTGTCAGATTTCTGTCCTTTTATGAATGTGTCGTTTTCTTGTTCAGCAATCGCGAGGTTTTTAAACAGCATACATTTACTTCCATAAAAACACAATACAATACAACGCTAGCTGACGTTTCGGCAGTATCGCCTTCTTCAGAGCCGCTTTTTCGTGATTTCCAATGAGGAAGTTTAGAACAGCTGATTATAGTCGCACGTGGTTGACGACTGCCACTGGTTGTGGTCTGTCCTTTTAGTTTCGATACTTGCTTTTCCCCGTGTTTTCTTTGGTTTTCCTCTATTGATTCCAATGAATTTTTCTTGTGGAAATGGACTACTTGTATTCTTCATTGGATCGAAATCCATACACCAGATTAACAACTTTTTTCTTAAGGCAAACTTTGCCTTTTTCTTTGTTTTGCTCTTGCTTTTTGCCAATGACAACCAACATCGCATTTAAAATTCGGCTTAATACCTGGCAGACAAACCCGTAGCCGCCAAATTCACTTGTCCCGGTGGTTTGGAGCTATGGGGCCGTCTTGCTGATAGTTTGGAATCTGTCCAACTACCATAGGGTCAATTGATGATTGAGTATTTTTAAGGTGGGCTCAAAACAGCAAATAAAGGAAAATTTAATAGGCAAACGCATTACTTTAACTGGCTGTGAGAAGGGCAAGGCAAGTGGTGCTGTGAGTAACATGCGAACCCCGGAAGGAGTAGTCGAGGGTTTGATCTGGCTTAGGGTCCAAGTTTGCCAATATCTCTGCATAATAGTGGTTGTATTTTAAGTCATACTCTGTCGTGAAGCGTAGTAATAGAAAGCAAACAAAAACCCAACGAACATATCATTAACTTTTAGATTTGGTCACATGAAACTTTACCATAATAGTATCTCTGTATTTATCTCAGTGATTATAACATCAACGGTTATAGCAGTGAGATCTCGGTTTCGATTTGTCATGACGATGTTATGAAGAATTTTGATCAAAACTTTAAGGGTACAGGTTCTCAACTGTTGATTGTATATAGCGTGCCTTAAAAAATGTTTTGACTGCCCACCGTCTCTTATGAATTCAGTTCATTATCTCTTATTTTTAGTAGTCTTTCTTGTTTTTTTTCGTGTCTCTTGTAATTGTTTATGATTACTCATTCTTCTTTATGCTTTCTGAATTTTACCATTTTTCACTGCTTCATGTATGAAAGCAAAGCCGAAGCATAGCCGTCGTCATCTTTGAGTTGTGCTTGTTCGCTGTTGGAAGTCCTTTCGTGGAAATGAAATTTTGGTGGCTCAGAATCAACAATAACCGGGAAGCATGAGGGTTGAAGAGTGATTTATACTTGCCAAACGGTTTTTAACATTACTTGACGAGACATCTGCACAAAGAAATCTACTGTAGAAGGAAAATTTTGCCATATATTTTTTGAATATTTGAATATTTTTGAGTGGATAAAATAAGCGGTAAAACCTTCAGTGTTGATCAGCCCTGACGAGAGGCCAAGTATTCCACTTCATTGAACAACGTTTGAGGTGATTGGATGTATACCAGATTTATGGAATAACTTCCAGTGGTCCACCCATGTGTCATGTCAGTGATGCTGTTCTCCCAGATATGTATGGCACTAATTTGCCAGCTCATGATAAACGAAAGGTGTGGTGAGCTCGTGGCTCAGGATTGAACCAATGACCACATGTACGTTGCAGAGCCCCTTTAACCATTGCGTTACACGCACTCCCTTTGTTGAGTCAAGCAGGCCAATTATCGACTATGAATAACGCAGGCGAATCATGCCGGTGTGGTACCCACTAGCTGAACGTTTTGACTATGGAAAAACGTAGCTTGCAATTTTAACACTACCTATGCTGTATAAAATTCTTTTCCTGATGATGAAGAAGCGGTAACTTTTAAACGTTGACACAGCGTGTTCTTGCCGGAGACAGCTGGTGAGGATTCTACTCTGCTCGCTTGGCTGTCTCGCAATCGGCATCCACGAGCTCTTCAGATTTGCTCGTTGGTTCAACTGCAACCTGAGAACATTGTGTTTTTCATGAACATCCGTTAATGCTGGCCGAGTGTGATTCTCTATAGAATGCTTGGTTAGCTTCGCTAAACTTTTAAAAAGTCCTTTTTCAAATAGCCTCCTGACTTCCTCTGTTGTAGCAGGCTACGCAGCTAAGTCCGATAGAAATTCGAGGATCCAAAAGTGTTGCTTAGATCGCCTGTTTACAAATGGTTACAAAAAGGTCGTCAAGTATAAAAATGATTCCTTACAAGAAACATCTTAGCTTATTTATCGGAATCATGTCTATAGTTCTCAATAGATCCACTTCGTGTCCGAAGTTTGCAAGACCCTCATCTTTTCACACGGTTCATTATCTTCCGAGGTCTTCGATAGGCCAGCTTAATTACTGTTGTAACTCCTTATGAGAATGAATATTATTTATGGAAGACAGCAAATGTTTTTTTTGTTTCTGAACTAATATAACTGTTCATACTTACAACCAACGTGGTTTTTTCACGTTGGTCTATCCAATACATTTAGCTTGCGAAAGAGCACATGATGTTAATGGTATAGTTGAACACTGCGGTTGAGAACGTTGAAGTTCATTAAAAATGTTGAACTGTACGCAAGACCAGCTCATGTAAAATGCAAGTTGTTATTTTGTACTTCAAAAGTGGGCTTTGCTATCAATGCTGGAAAGGTGTGTGATTTGAGTTGTCTGGCCTAGGGAGTGTCGATTGAGCCAGACGTCATTTCCAGACGTCATCACCGTCATTGCACATTACGGCATACACGAGCTACTCTTCTTAGTCTGATAGGAATGGGCTGCGCACTTCACTTCATAGTCTCTTTTTATTTATTACTTGAGTGTTCTTATTGATCTATAGGTGTACCAATTCGCCGAAGACCGACTTTGACCAGTCTCGGCCCCGATCCATAAGTTACGGTGTCTTTGATAGACCGACGAGACGTTGTTGTAAACCTCCTTCTTCAGACGCTATACTTGCTTGTATATATTTATATATTTATTTATACACATGTGTATACATGTATACATACTTATGTGTAAATATATGTCTATATATGCGTTTCATTTTGTCAATAATACACCTTTTTCCTCTTCTTTCTCCCATGCTAATAGATTTCCTCACTTTCAGAATTTTGTTAATGTTCACCGTTACGTTGATACCGCTCAGAGCAATTTGATTCGGCAAGGGATTCATCTAGCGCTTTGTTGGTGACGGTATCTTCATCGTCTTCACTTCATCCTTTTAACATCTACTGAACAGTAGGAAGACCATTCAGAACAGTGTTGCTTTTCAATATGTATTCTTTCTTGATAAGCTTGCACGAGGTTGATAAATATTCTTTCTTTCGAGATTCTAGAAGATGGCTCGCTGAGGAAGATCTGGCTCGACAGGAAGGCGAAGACGCAACGCCGAGGCGAACAACAAGCATGGACCATCGACTCGGATCACCGGCTCTGAGGAAGACGAAGACGTCGAAACGTTAGCCGAAAATAAATATATTTATCAACCTCGTGCAAGCTTATCAAGAAAGAATACATATTGANTCAATATGTATTCTTTCTTGATAAGCTTGCACGAGGTTGATAAATATATTTATTTTCGGCTAACGTTTCGACGTCTTCGTCTTCCTCAGAGCCGGTGATCCGAGTCGATGGTCCATGCTTGTTGTTCGCCTCGGCGTTGCGTCTTCGCCTTCCTGTCGAGCCAGATCTTCCTCAGCGAGCCATCTTCTAGAATCTCGAAAGAAAGAATATTTATCAACCTCGTGCAAGCTTATCAAGAAAGAATACATATTGATTAGTCACACCGAGGTTTAGGGAAGGTCGGTTTCGAAATATTACTACGCTTTGTGCTAGCTGATAATACACCGACCTCTGCACGATGTGCGCAATGATGTATGTCCGGAAGAAATACAAGTTGTTACCACCGGACATTGTCATTATATATCCACCATCAGCATCGTGTATAAAAGGGCATCACTGAGTGAGGATGCCTCATTCGAGAAGATGGCTCGCTGAGGAAGATCTGGCTCGACAGGAAGGCGAAGACACAACGTCGAGGCGAACAACAGGCATGGACCATCGACTCGGATCACCGGCTCTGAGGAAGACGAAGACGTCGAAACGTTAGCCGAAAATAAACATCATTATCAACCTCGTGTAAGCTCATCAAAGAAGGAATACATAGTGTTGCTTCTATTTCACTAGAAAATTTTTGATATGAGGTTTTCTATTTGAAGTAGAAGTGATCGTATAGTGGTCTGGACAAATATTATTTAGTCTATGTTCAATCAGCAGAAGAGTGCGTAAAATGCAAAGCGGACGGTTGACCAAAAAGGCTCCATTGCTCACTGTGTTAACTGGTTTCATTTCACGTTTTGTCAGTTAGAGTATTACAGACATCATCGCAAGTCTGAACCGTCCTGGAACTCCTAACAAGCTCATAATGAAAGTAAATGGACGTTATCTGTTAATCATCAAGTTGGATGAGAGGAGGCTTAGCGTAAGCTGGCACAGAATGACAGCATCAATACCGACGATGGCTTGCCGGGTGGCAAGATGACGAGAACAACATCTAGGGGATGTATAACTCAACTTATCCTGAAAAATGCTTTTAAAATTTATTTTGTTTCCACTTTAAAGAAAAGAATAAGGCTTTCGGTGTTGATCAATCCCTGAGGGATGCGTCTTGCATTCGACTTCATTAAGCAACGTTTGGAGGTGATTAATTAAATGCATATCTTGCCTTGACAATGATTCGCGGTGGCCTACCGATGTATCGAGTCAGCGCTGCTGTCCTTCCAGACAAGTCTGCTACCAATTTGCCGACCTGAAAGGATGAGAGGCTTGGTGGGCCATGAGGGCGGGGATTAACTCCACGTGTGTGTTGTAGTGCGCATCCGACCACTGCGCCACAAGTGTCCCTTGTTTCCACTTTATAATACTTATTATGAGTCTAAGTACTAATGCGCTACCCTTGTTAGCATTTGTATGATTGGTTTTTTATTGGTCATGTTTCTTTAAATTAAAGTAGCTTGTACAATATTTCTAACAGCTTGTAGAATACGGAATTGAAATTTGATTCCAGAGGTTCTTCGTGCTGCAGATTCCATGCAATTCAAAAGAAAAATAAACGAAGATGAAGATGAGGTGGTAAATACGTCATAGGAACTATATTAAAAAAAAGTCTTTTCTTCTTCCACATCATTGACCAATCCAATATGGAAGGAGATGATCGTACAGCTTTCCTTCTTCCTGTCTCCTGTCTTTTTCTCCTTCCTTTTCTGCCTCTTGTCTGCTACAATTCTTTTGCCAGTTCACTATTTAGTGGTGATTTGCTAATCCGTGGACATCGGCACTTTCTCGTCGCTCTAGTAATATAAGTTAATTAAAACTTGAATATTCTACGATGGCGATGACAATCGTTGCAGACTTATCTATCTGGATTTCGGAATCGGTCAACAACGGATTATGCCTGATGCGCTGCTCAAAACGTGAACCACAATGGCCGATCTTTGGGAGTTGAACTGACTAGAACTAGATTATTCTCGTTGCGTCTTACTGTTTGTGCAAGTTTTTTTTTCATGATTCCTTAATTAGTGGTTGCGACTATGGCGAGATGCTACCATACATAGAATCGGCCCGACCTTACTCGGGATAACTAAGAGACATGCCTTCTTGTTTCTGCATGTCTTCCAGAATAATGGTGATCGGAATAGAATGTTTCTCATTGACGGGACTATAGACGGTTATGCTGCAATTTTTGTCAGGAGAAATTTGTATTATTATGTTGTCTCCAAAAAATCCAGAAAAAGGTAATCTTATCATTCAGTGACTCAGTCGTCGCTCGTTAGTAATGGCTGAGTGACCATCATGCAGCTGTTGCGTTTTTTCCTTGTTTCTATAACTTACAAATCTTGTTCTGGTGGGCATTGCAAATATATCGGCATTCACTCTATCTCTTTCTCTCTAGTCAAATTTTGGCCACTGTATTTTCTTAGTGTAATCCTTTTTATTGTCATCTCACTCATCTTTTTCTCATTTTCATTTATTCAGAGTTTGGCGTTCCTGATTAAAGTCTCTGGTCATTTTCGGGTAGGTGGAGCTATTCGGTAATTTGACCGCAACACTATCCGTGTCGACTACTATCACTTTGTCTCTGTGCAATAATAGTCGCTTTGTTTCAGACGTTCTGCTATGCGCATTATTGTTTTAAATTTATACGTTACAAAGTTTTTCACATCATTATTTCTTTTATTAAAAGAAGTGCAATTACTGAGGAAAGTGCCCAGGCCCTAAATTCCACCCAAAGATTTATGTCAAGAAAAAATTTTTTTAGGAATCCTGGAATACACGTAAACCACTTTCCATAGATTATAATCGAACTGAATGACCTTTCTAATCTTCTCTTCTTTTATAAGCACCGAATCAAAGATCTCACATTACATACTTAGAGTGACATTATTTATAACGCTGTACTTTTCCATCCTCATCTTCACACTACACTCTCATAAGCCTTCTTGTCGATATCGCCGCTAAATATGGCGTACTCTTTTCTTCACAAAAAGATAACAAAATTTCAGAAAGCTTTAGTTGTGGGTGTTCATAGAAGAGGTGTGATTTCGAAATCATTGGAAAAGAAAGGTGAAGAGGAGAAAAACACGATGAGAAGTGACGTCGTCGTCGTCTGGATTCTCTCCGTCAGTACATCGGCAGGTGGTTTAATCCGTTAAGCTTAATTTCCCTTAATATCTATTTGCTTGTCTTAACACTATAATTGTCGCTTACAATGAACAGCTTTGCGACGAGGAATCCATCTACCTGTCGGCAGAATCATCAAAATCGGCAGCAGAATTACGATCAGCAAGATCCATAGAGGATGTCTGGTCTTCATTACGAACACTTTTAATTCCAAAGCAATCCAACAGCATTTAGAGTCTATTGTACAGTGCTTGTGAAAAAGAATTTGCAACCAATTGTGGTCAGTATGGGATCTATGTACCGCAGAAATTTGAGGTGTCCTGCAATACACACCTGTTCCTTGGTGCTATCCTGCATCTTAGACAAGCCGAATTCTCCATCTTGAATCAGGGAATTGCTACCACTCGTGTCTCGGAGAAGAAAAACACCAATTTGATTTATCAATAGGTAACCACAAGTCACTGTGGCTAGTCATCACCTCGAGGATACTACGAACGCAGTTGGATGTGTGAGGTATCCGTGAAAAGTGAATCAAAGCAAACAGTTTTACGTTTCCCTTCTGTGATCGTACAGAAGCGTGAAATTTATTGCGTCGCCACACAGAACGTACGGCTGACTAACATGTCTTACATTTCTATGTTGTGACATCTCCTCTAATGGTCTTCAAATGTATGGTCTAGTTAGTTGTGAATCAGAAAGGCTGATACGAAATAGCAATGTACCAGCGAAAATTCTGGGTCTCGGTTCCGCATATTGCTGGCACAGGTTAACCACAGCAGAGCCCTAAACGCTTCTACTAGAGAAAGGCGGTCAATCGCTATTAAGAGCACACTTAAGCTCTCGAGTTAAACGAAAGCATCAGTGCACGCAAGTGGCCCCAGTAAAACCGAATTAAACAGAGAAAGTCGTTGCAGAGAAAAAAGCAATTAGAATTGCTATAACCATCTTTTTGTGAGTAAAGTTTTTACTAACTAGGCCATTGGTAGAACATTTGAGCCAGAAACCAACAATTTTAATGAGTAACGCTTAATTGTCGATAAAATTCGTCATTTTAAAGGGGGATGACACTTTAGAAAAAGAAAAAAGTGGTCGAAGATATACTGCCTCTATTTCTTACCTTCGAGTTTTTCTTACGACTACACCCGAAAATTATATTCTATTCTATCCGACGTTGGATTTTCCAGTTTTTCGATTGCATTGCATACAATGCGATAAGAATGCTGCGTGGTACTCGGAAGAGGAACACGAACGCCTCCTCGAACTGTGTCAGCACGGCTTGGTGCCGCCGACTCCGTGCCGGAATCACTCGCACACTCACTGCATCGTCAGCTGGTATCGGAGTGGAGGCAGTGGTGGTACGTGAAAAGAAAAATGAATACCTGACTGATTGATTGATTGATTAATTGATCAACCGGTGAAAGTTTCCATTCATTTCCATCTATTGATTATTCATTTATCTAGATTTTCCTCATATAATCTCAGTTATTTGCTTATTTCTTCAATATATTGTTTAGCTACTTCGAATCTCACGGCGATATAAAAGAAATGAATGGATAGTTGGATGCATATGGTGGTAATTTTCTTTCATTCAAAACGAGATTTTTTCTAGAAGTCTCATTGATAAGATCGGGTTTTGTTCAGAATTCTGCTGTACGAACTTGATAGAGAACTTCTCATCTCGGTTTCTTAAGCCACATTTCTTATCCAGACTATAACAAACTAACTAGGAGCGACAGTTTATTAAGTTTTGCATATAAGAAGCAAGTAACCCAAGCATTGTACGTGGTTTTACTCTAATTATGAGTATTCTCACAAGATGGTTCGAGACGCTCCTGGATGTCGACTACAACGTTCAGTGAGGGTTTAAGCTCAACGGAACCACCTGTCATGGGAAAAAGTTGGAGTTCCTCGAGTGATTGGAGCTCACTGAGCAGCTCTAGTGTTCAACAGTAGTTAATGTGAATACTTAAGTGGTATCCTTCGAATTATGTGACTAATAGCGGAATAACGACACATCATGTTTGCCTATTTCTAAATAATGTAAAACTAAGCATTTTAGTAAAAAGTGATTTGAAACTGGGACCATTTTGATGGTTCTACCTGGTATGTAATGTCTGAAATTTGCATATTAAAGGGCTCTAGCACGAAAAACTGCCAGGAATCGGTCATTTTATAGTTGTTCCGCTCTCCGTCGGCTGTTAGATTTTCACCACCAATCCAGAAATATCTCATCAAAGAACAGAGGCCGTAAGGGCGGTAACGATGTTAGCGTTCGATTATGTGCAAAATGATCAACGACGGTTTTCAGTTAGCTTTGCCTTTATTTCTTTCCAATCCTTTCTTTCTCTCCATCTCTTTCTGTCATTGTCTGACTAGTTTGCGTTCTGCTAAAGTGTTCACCTCGAGCATAATATGGAATTCTATGAACACCATATTGTTCTTTTCAGCACCGACATGCCGGACGCGCCTGCTTTGATACCATTCAATTAGACTCGTCCTTTAATAAGTACTGGGGCATGTGCTCATTGCTATACATCCACAACTAATTATTTGGAAATGTTAGCGCCTCACAGATGGACCGCACTTATGTAGCACCGAAAATATGTCATGGGAACCGATTCAAAAAAGTGAAGGACTTGGTGGGCCAAAGGGCGAGGTCGATCTAAGAAGAACGTTGTAATACACAACACCGCGAATCCGCCAATCACTTCGCTACATGCATCCCTGTATGTAGAGATAGCGAAGCATAGTGTAATGGTGCAGGTATGCTATATGACTGAATAAATTCCTAAGTAGTGAACACCCAAATCAACTGCATATCCGTTTATCCGTCGATCCTATGTATCCGTAAATCCTTCATTTCTCCCTGTTGCGCGCCGGAGTTGCTCAGTGTACTGCATTCACCCAAGGTAGCGAAGAGCATCGCGCCATGGGTCCGACGCTCTTTTCCACACGTTTGAAACAAAGCCCTTTAGTTTTCTTGAATTCGTGAAGAGGTGGCTGCAACTAGCTCTCTCTGATCCGTTGTGGTATACGTTTACTGGTTGATGAGTTTTAAGATAGAAATATTGAACTCCTTAGCTTGAGTAACTCTACTGAAGGATGAACTCTGCGTTGTATCTCGCACAAGTCGGCATTCAAGGAAAGTTCGTACCTAGAACTCCACTAATTCACCTGTAGTTCAGCAAAATTTAACCATCTAACTTCTATTATATCATAAGCATTAAATAATGAGGGCTCGATACAGCGAAAAGATGCTTAAAAAGCATAGCTGAAAGCCTGCTTAAATCACAACCTTGAAAAGTATCTTAAGTTAGGGTTAAGTTAATGTCACGAAGAAAATTTTTCAGCCAGATGTGACGGTGATGTAGGGTAATCCTTCACTGTTGGTGAGGCTTTGAATAAGGATTTAAATTATGACTTTTTTTTATTGAATCAACCCATATACTTTCTTAGATTCCTTAGATTAATGGCAATCAACGGATGCCTGCTACCTGTCATTCGTTATTGATTATCTTCTTCATGTATTTACATAGTAATTTCCATACCAGTTCATCTTCCAAAGAAAAGTACTATGAAGCAGAAGGTTCATTCGTATTTTACATAAATCAGAACACGCCCATATTTGAGCTACACTAGCATTAGTTGTACGAAAATCAACGCAGGTTTTCCACAAAGACCGAACGAATACGTAAGAATTCGTTCCATTTTTCAAAGTCTTCAAATGTTGCCATCGTTGATGAGAGCGGGCTGTTTTCAATCCTCTTCATAGTGGGTTGTCTTCAGTCCTCTCCATCTCCATAATGGAGCATTTGAAGCCATTTAAAATACGCTCGTCTTTTCTTCTCTAATTCATTGGCCTGGACCAAGCACAGATTAAAACAAATTATAGCGATTCGCTAGAAGAAGAGATAGTCAACATTAGCAAAGGAAAACCCAAGCTCAAATGATTTGCAACACCATTTTTGCTAACACTGAAATTTACTATTATACCATAAAAAAGATTCACATTATTTTCAGAAAAGATTGTGACTGAACGAAAGTGTGGTGGAGTGGACGACGTGACTGGATGCACTTTGTACAACTCAAAAATCAGTCGAAAGGTTAGTACTCTGCAATCTGCAGTGATCGACTACTATTTGTATTAGTAAGTCACACGTTACACATTAGGTAGCATTAAAGTTTTCAGATTGCATAATAGTGGTTATGTTAGAAGGATTGTATCCTTCAAAAGAATACATGACCATGAAAATTTCAAGCCATATCGTTTTCAGATGGCCCCATTTCTGGCCTCACTCATAGATTACATGGGAGTTTATTGTCTTTCAACTAGTTTTTTGCCAGTAGCTGTGACTCCTCGCAATGATTTACCTTTGAGTTGGCTTCTAACGAAGATTTTGAACTCGTAGCAGCCCAGGTAGCCTTAGTGGGAGTAGGATGGGTACAAATGCCCTCAGCTTACGGCGAAATTCCGCAACCAGGAATACATTCGACAACGAGAACATGGGTCGTTTTAGGTAATGGAAAATGTCAACTAAAATTGCGCTAAACTAATGCTATTACCATTTGAAGAATACCTCAATATTTAATCACTGTCATTCTTTTTTCATGATTGTGTGCTGTCTGAAATACAACTACAGAGATTCCCCACTGGAGACTGTTAAACTGATGTTACAATACAAATAACATGTCTTAACTCTTTTTTTACTGCCTCTTGACTCTTCTTAATGGGTGATTGCTGATAGAGTTGACAGCGTAAAAAGATTAACTCGGCAAAGTAAGCCCATCGGTTAATGTGGGAAATAGCATATGAGTACCGGTAAAGGTAAACACGGGTTCGAAGTCCGCCTAAGGTTCCGAGTTCTGCTCATGTCTAGACGTCCTTGTGGTTGTATTTCACTCTATAAACAGTTTCTCGTTCATTGTAAACGTGGAAGTAATGGCACCACTGATGCGGAATTTGGTACTTGACATATCAGATATTTGCTTAGGTGTCTAGCATTTAGGTAAGTCACCTCTTACCAAAAGTCCACTCAGCAGGAACTGTTAGAAGGGAAACGTCTTCGTTCTATGTGGAGGTGAGTGTTCAGGCAATTTCCGCTATTTATTTGTTTGGAAATAAAGCCATAGCAAGGGCAAATATCTTATGAAGAAAAAAACTTACTTGCAAAAATTTGAAACGTATTCTTGAAACTATATGCCAATCGCCTATTCAGAACAGAAATGTTCCAGGTGTGCAGCGAATCATGTCCAGGCGGAAAGTGCTTGAGTATGGCGCGAAAAACGACCGTTGTTAGCGTATTGCTTACGCTACTCCTATCGTTACACTTCTTTTGACGAGCTTCTGGGACACCACGGTACGGTGTCGGCCGCTGACTGGAGCGACAACGATGCTAAATATCTACGCATATTCACAAATACGTCATATTTAATGCGGTTATATATCCTGCACAAGGACGTCTGTAGCGCAGTGGTTAGAGGCACCTTGAAATACACATATATTCGATCCCGCGTCCCAGAGTTACAAAGTCTTCCATCCACCCAGGTTGTGCAAAGTGGTACCAGACTTGGTTGAGAGGATAGTAGCACTGACTTGATACATGTAGTCCACCGCGAGTCTTGTATGGGACGGATTTGCACTCAGTCACCTTTAACGATGCCCACTGAAGTCGAATGCGTAGCACATCCCTCAGGAAATGATCAATGCCGAGAGCTTTATTCTTCATCCTTCTTGGGTTGCATGTAGCAGGTGAAATCGGCATGTCGACTGACGCTGTCCAGTGCGCTCTTCATCTTTATTATCAAGGTGCTTCGTTAAACGGGTCCACTTCATTGATTCACTAATAAAACGACAGTTCAATGTATTAGAGCTGTTTTGGTCTCGTTTTTCCTTCTAGATTTTTACTACTTCATTGACTAATTAAGTAATCAAAAATGTTTTTCTCGTTTTTGCAAAAGAAGTGGTAGGATGAAGTAAGGCAAAATACGGGAAAAAATCCTCTAGTTTCGTCGAAAACGATGACTCTGAATTGCGGCAGTCCCAAAAACGAAAATTGCAACATGGGCTGTCTAATGATCGAACCCCTCGCTACCTCTCTCAACTAAAACGCACTAGCGGATATTTTGCTGCCATCCTTGGGATAAACAATAGAGTTTAGGGTAGCTCTGTGCACTCAGCAGTTCCGACGCGTTTTGTGCTCTGTACTTGCCGAAATAAAGTCATACGGTGGCAAAATTATAGGGAAACGAGTGTCAACTGTTTTTTAAGACTCGGCTTCTTAAGAATGATGAGAGCAGAGGCACTGAGGTCTTGGTTTGTTTCGGAGTTCGGGTGGGTACCAACCATTGGGAATGCCTACTCATCAATGTGTTGCTCCTCGCTTAGCCGTGCGAAAACCAAAATGGTAGAAATAGTTTTCGTCCTGGTTTGGTCAGCAGCATGTTAAATTAGACCTATTATTAAGACGTGTTTAAATTGTTGAGTTTGAGCTCAGACCTCGTTTTATGTTTTTTATTTTTATTATGTTTTATCCAACTCGGTACAGATCATAAATTTTCCATCTCGAGATGCTCCTCTTTAGGACGAAATTTCACGCATAGCTGTTTTTTTGTTACCATTCACTAGTGTTAGTTTGTGATTTGATTTCAAATATTTGTTGTTGTGTTGTCATCTACCTCAGGTGCTTTTATTCAGATCTTCAGAAATTTCTAGTGATAATCACTACCTTATAGGTTTTTCTTGCGCTTATGTTTTCTCTCATCATCATTTTTATGCCAATGAAATTTTAGTAGTGCATACTTCTTTCACCTACATGTGATATACCATATCTGTTCCAGCACCACAGTGAAGTACAATATATGCACCAAATGCATTTTTCACTTAGGTCAGAAAAATTTGTTACCGTAACCCTATTATTGTTTCAAAAGTTGACTTGAAAATACAACTGGTTTAATCTGGTTTAATCCCCAGTTGGGTCCGTTGGTTGCTGTTGCTGGGTGGTTTCTTTGGTTGGTCCAATGTAATTTGGAGCAGTGTCATTTCACCTAGAATCAGGTCATCAGGACTAAGAAACATTTCGACACTTGTATTCAAAATCCAGCAGAAAATAAGCTTACTTCAGAGCGAGTCGACTGGAAACTGTAAGGCTAAAATGGGATATGAAACAGCGCTGTTACCGGCCAGTATTCCTACGGATCCACGAATCGGACATCGGGTACAAGTTCATGACTTTAACTTTAACTACGAACAGTTGCCACCGTTCAGCCCCTCCAAATCGCCCTGTTTCCCAGCGGGTCTGCGTATAGGACATTTTGTAGAATAGGACATGACATGACGACAGGGAACAATGGAATGGGATAATATGGGAGTGAAAATCGACGGTCGGCAGTTACACCATCTTCGCTTTGCTGATGATATTGTCCTCATAACATCAAACATTAGCCAGGCCAAGCGTATGCTTGGCGACTTTGATGAAGCCTGTAGAAAGATTAGTCTTCGACCAAATCTCACAAAAACAATGTTCATGAAAAACGGATTGGTTTTGCATGCCCCATTCACACTCAACGGAACGAATATCTCCAAATGCTCCAGTCATATCTATCTATGTCGGGAAATCAATATGATGGACGACCTAGCTGAAAAGCTGAGTAGAAGGAAATGAGCGACTTGGAGAGCTTTACCAGAGCATCGAGGATGTAGTGAAGAGAACAAAGAACACCCGACTCCTCGCCCACCTTTTCGACTCAACGGTACTTTATGCACTTACGTATGCGTCAGAAACCTGGTCGCTACGTAAGCAGGATGAAAGGTTACTCAGCGTTATCGAACGCGCAGTCGAAAGGACGATGCTAGGAGTATCCCGTTCCACACAAGTAAAGGATAAGATCCGAAGCTCCGATCTGTGTTAACGATCAAAAAGTAAAGATGCCGTTCTATACGCCAAATTGTGGAAGATAAGGTGGGCCGGACACGTAATGAGTATTAATTAATACTACCTGTGCTCACGCTGGTGGCAGTTCGAAACATATTTCTTATAAGCTCCGTTTTGGTGTGTGAGGAATGAGAAGAGAGGTAATGAACCAATATATTCTTACTACTTGCCTTTCGATACCATTTTGTGATGTGGCCGTTTTCAGATAGGTTAATTTGAATGTTTAGAAATGGAAGCCTGTTTTCTTTCGGTTTCTCACGGGTGAGCTTCGTGCACTCTGACTGTTCGTTCAATAACTCGAAGTAATTGTCCATCTCCTCTTGTGTGGAGCAAATGGTAAAACAATCATCTATATACGTACAGCGGAGTAATGGTCAGAGATCGATTACTGGTGCTTCCACTTTAGACATAAAGGCAACGGCAAGGATTAGTGCCAGTCGCTGTCCCATTGCCAGCCCTCTAATTTGCGCGTAATATTTCCCGGACCACCAGAGGATCGAGCAGTTCAGCCAAACCTTTAAGAGGACCATAAGCCGTTGAATCGAAAAGCGATACATGCTAATTGCTCCTTCATGTTGTTCAAGAAGCTCGCCGATGGCTTACATTGCAGAGTCATTCGATACATTAATGCAAAGGGCGGTAACGTCGAACGACTCCATAACGCACTCGCTTTTTGGAACATACGTTACGCAGACGATCTAGGATCATTTGGGTCTTCGCGAGATGGGCTTGTATGTGCTTAAGCAACAGGTTGGGAATTAGATTTATTAACCAAGTTCTTCTGTCTGTAGTTCAATTCTATCCGTAGGCCCGTCTACACAACTGATGATGGGCATAACTTTAAAGGTCGGGTCGGGTCGACTTTAAGGGTCGGTAGACGCCAGATCATCAGCGGATACTAACTTATGAGTTTTGACAAGTAAGTACAATACAGGGCATGTCGGGACTTTGGTCTTAAGATGCGGAATGTCTAATGGTTTAAACCTGCTGCGCTTGCCATTTGAACCCATTCGTTGTTCAGTTTTCGATTTTGACTTTTGAATTCCTTCATGTACGATAAAGAGATGCGTCTTCAAGATGTTTTTCAGTTATAACGACATCTAACTGGTGAGAATTTACTACAAACCCTCCACTCTTATCACTAACTGATAGCCTAATAGTCTTTGATTTTATTAGCTCTCGAACCTGTCGCATGCCAGATATTCGCGCAGCCGTAA